ACAGGCTGGTTTGGAAGACAAAAGCAAAGGTTTCCAAGGTATCCCATAAAATGTTTGTAGGGTGCGGAGAACTGAATATTAAGAATGCGATTCTCCCGGCCTCCTCAGAGCTAAGCCCCATTGAGGTCAGCGGAATCTGCTCCCAATGAAACGTTCTGAGAAAGCAGGGAAATGGGTCTGTGGAGCAAAGTTGGGTGGGGAGAGGGGATCCCCCGAAGCCTTTTCTCCCTGAATCACTGAGCAATGACATGAAGGTTCATAGAATCACAGAATAGTAGAGTTAGAAGGGGCCATGAAGGCCATCGAGTCCAACCCCCTGCAGTTGCAGGACACCAAGTCACACCATCCCACTCAGGTGGCTGCCCAGTTTCACCTTGGATGTCTCCACTGTGGGAGAGCCCCCACCTCTCCAGGCAGCTGGTTCCACTGCCGTATTGCTCTGACCCTGAGGAAGCTTTTCCTGGTGTCCGGCCTGAATCGGGGTTGTTGCAACTTGAATCGATTATTCTGTGTCCTGCACTGTGGCGTCAGCAAGAAGAGATCTTGGTCATATGCCAGGTCTTCTCCCTGCCCTGCCAGTTCCTGGTGCCCCAAAGAGGGCGCTTGGTTGGAGCAACTGAGTCCTTGCCTGAGTCAAGATATGCTCGGCCCCCTGCATCCATCACTGCTTTTGCAGTCGATTGCTTGAGTTGGTGCACTTCTCCTGGCATTCCTCTTCGGCTGCGCCCTGCTTGTTTCCAGGTCACGATGCCAGCAGCTTTGCACTTGCATGGGCGTCTGAGCCCCACAGATGGGATGGAGCTATGTCTGAGAGGGATCTGTAGGGCAGCGCTAGCCCCTCCCAGGATCAGGCGAGAGGAGGATGCCTTCCATGCCCACCTCCAGTCAGTGGCTAAATGGTTTTGCTTGTCCAGAAATGCAAGGCTTTCAAGTTAAAGGCATTGATTTCTCTCAAGCTGGAAACTGAAAAAGAACCAGACTTTAATGCTAACTGATGGAGGGTCACTTTTGCAGTCAACACACAGACTTTGTAGTGCTGTAGAAGTTTGAAAAAGCAAGTTAAGTCCCTCCTTCTCCTCTGCATCCACCTCTGTCACCACTTCTCCTCCTCCTCCTCTTCCTTCTTCCCAACAAATATTGCCTAAACATACATAAAGCCACCAAAGTTAGGTTGTTGCCCCTTCAGCTCTGCATCCGGGGGGAGCACCCAGTTACCCCCTCCCAAGGTCAGCCCTCCTTTGTTTGATGGGAAGCCCACATTTCTAGGATGGACCTGAAAGAAATGAATGAGAAGTTAGTCCCTTCCTTAGAACCAGCCTCAACAAATAACCCTTGAGGTGCATTGCTGGTTTTTACCATTTCAAAGTATCCCTAAGTGGAAGGCAAGAGAAGAAAAGGAAGACCAGACAGGAGGTGGGCAGGCCCCATCAGCCCTGAATTTAGAACAGCTCAGCAAGGGTGCCATGAAGAGGGGATTTTGGAGGGCAGGGGCGCCCTAAGCTGGAGACGACTTGGCAGCACCTGGCAGCAAAGTATTCCTTAAAAAACGGGAAGCTCTGCAGCTGAGAGTAGAGGAGGCAGTTGAGTGGTCCTGACAGCTCAGAGGAAATAGTTCCCAAAATCCCAGTGAAGTACCACATCCCCTAAACACTCTGCTCTGCTCCCTTGCATCATGTCGAGCAGGGTGTCCTGCTTTACTGGCACTTCATCCTCCCTTCTGAGTAATTTAACCATCGGGGGACTAGGCTCTATTCTGCATCAGGGGATCTCCGGAGCGAGCAAAGCTGCAAAGCTCAAGCCAGGCGAAACTGAAACGCAACTCGGCCCCTCGTGCATCGCCAAGCAAGAACAAATGCTTCACCCCAAAAGGGGACAAAAGAGGATGCCTATTTGCATGAAATTTGGGTATGTTAATTTATAGGTGCAGGTGCCAATTTAGGAATAATTACTGCAATTTAAGGAGAAATGCGTCTCACCATACTGGGGGTGACTGTGTCCAGGGAACGTACATAATGCTCAAACTGCGGATAGCTTTTCGCATCTCTCTCTCTCCTTGGGGTGCTTTCCCTCTAAGCTCGGGTGGAGAGCTTTCGAACAGAGGATGCCTCCAGACATTCATATGGTGGGACCCAGGGCAGAGGTTTGGCAAGATCTATGCAAGTTTAACTCTGCTCTGCACTCAGAGCACTCTGTTCTGCCCGTCCCCTTAAGCACGGCAGTGGCCCGAGACTAAACAGTGGAAGAGAACTATACCCAGCCCTGTTGTGGGCTGGGAAGCAAGGGCTTCTGGGAAACTGGGTCTCCATCTTGCAGAAAGCAATCTGGCTCCAACCTTTGGCAGAAGGATGTGCCCCTGGGGGGGGGGGTCGCCTCCCCTCCCCACCAGGAAGGAATCTCACTGCCAGTTGCGAGCCCCCCGGGATTGGCTGGGGCATGGCGGGGGGCTGTGATTTCGGGTTTTGGGTACCCCTGTTCCCCACTCACCACCTCTTCCCATCTTTGGACCTTCCCATGCTGGAAAGCAAGCTCCGAATGTAGACCCTTCTGCTTGAAAATAAACCCACCCAGCTTGGTTAGAGGCCTTCTTTCTGTGAACTGAATGAGTTTCTCGTGAACTGAATGGAGTGGGGGGGGGCACCCTGGGACACACAGGGTGAGCTTTACCCACAGGGCTAGCTTACACAGATGTGTGTGTGCAATTTATCGCCTTAAGGATCATTTAATTGCATGGTTGAATTGTTGCTTCAATTGAATGACAGTAATTGCAGGATTGCTTCAGGATAAGAATGGTTTTGATCCCGAAAAATCCATTCTGAGCGAATATTGGAAGGGCAGCCCTTGGGTGAATGGATCTGTGAAGATCTGGCTGGTTTAGATGAATGCACAATTACCACATGTGTGTGTGTGTGTGTGTGTAGGAAGGGAATGGGTCACCCAGCTGTACTTGGGGAAAACACGAGCAACCATATATATTTTTTTTCAAGGAAGAATTGTTCCGTGTTTTTTTACAATCCCGTTCTTGAGACACCAACTGCTACGTCAGACCCTAAAGAGCTTCTTCTCAACACAGAACAGCATATTATTGGCTGCAACGAATTGAAGGGACTCCTGATGAAACGGAAAGGCGAAAGTGCAAAAGCACAACTGCAGCTCGACATGAAGAGAATAAAAACCACAACTACGGAAGAACAACGCCACTTTGGGAGGAAGGAGAGCAATGAAGAAATCAAAATTCGAAAGGATGTTGCACGCCTTGACTGTGTCCTTCATTCTGAGGGAGGCTGCAGCCAAGACGTTAGAAGAAGGCAGAAACTTGGAAAGACAGTGAAAGGAGGAGCTAGGAAGGACCATCAAGTGTATGGAGATCTCACTGGAGACCACGGCCAAGATCATCTCCATCTTGCTTTCCGTCCCCAGCACCTTTCCCTTGTGTTTCCCCTAGCAGAAATTCCCACTCTCAACTCTGGAATTCTGCCCTGCAGTCTTTGTGCGAGGGATGGACTGGAGCAAAGAGGGACCATTCAGTCCTATGGCAAACTGTATAAAGGAGCTGCGAGAAGCAGAACTGTCCCTGGAGGACCTGGGGGCAGAGCCCAGGGCATGAGCAGAAAGGACCAGAGGGACTGCGGCTGGGCCAGCTTAGCCACATTTTGGATTTAAGGAAGTGCTCGTTGCCATTTGAAAAGGGGATCAGGGAGCATGTAGGACCATTCAGCCCAAAATCTGCGAGACAGCTTACTTTACTAAAGATGAAAATCCATCACTAAGAAATGTCTCCTTTCATACCTGTCTTTCCCGCTGCAAAAATGGGGTAGAGAATTTGGCAATGGGGAGGAAGGGAAGGAAAGAGAATTGGCAATATCTGGGGGCGGGGGAAGTCCACAAAATGCAGGGAAGGTGAAACAAGTCCTCATGACTATGTGAGGGATCCAGCCCTGTGACGAGCTCCACATCCAAGCCAAAGGTCCAACATCCACCCACATCTCTGCACCATTTGTTTTAGGATCCAGACCCCATTAATTTCCTTTCTCAGAGGTTCCTCAGGACTTGCCGGGCAGTGGGTTGCCTAAATTGCTTTCCGGGAAAGAGAAGAGTGGCCACCAATCTCTGGGTCTCTGTCGCCCCCTGGTGGCTATTGTCCAGTGTTGAAGAGGAGAACCAGAGCTCGCTAGAGTGGGTATGGGTAGTTTTACCATATATGTAGTCATTTTGGTCACCTGGAAAAACTAGGTAAGGGCTACATTTTGGGGATGGGAGTCTTTTGGCCAGCCACCCAACAAACGCTTTTGACATTTTCATCCATCTTGGTCCTTATACATTTTGGTGATCTACATTCAGGCCGAATGTGGGATTATACACTTGAATTTATGGATGAAGGGGTAGCAAAGGCCTTAAGACTGAATCAACACACAGCCGTGCAAGTTTTCAAACAGGCAGCTAACTCTCCAAGACCACGTCTACCCTCACTGAGGTTCTAACGCGTTGCTGAAAGTCAGTGTGGTGTCGTGGTTAAGAGCACAGGACTGGGACCCAGGAGATGTGGGTTCCAGTCCCCATTCAGCCATGGAGGTCACTGGGAGACTTTGAGCTAATCACAGACGCTCAGCCCAACCCACCTCACAGGGCTGTTGTGAGGGTAAGACTGAGAGGAAGAGGAGAATGATGTAAGCTGCCCTGAGTTCCTTGGAAGGAAAAAAGGTAGCCTATAAGTACAATAAATAAATAATCCAATGTGCAGCCTGTGGAAGAACTTTGTGGGCTCTGGAAGCCTGCATGTTCATAAATTGCAGTCTCTCTTCCAAGACACCGGAGTTAACAAGATGCAAACTTTATAACTGCCTTTCCCAGGTCTTTTGGACTACAACTCCCTGGCTTTCTGACCATTGGCTATACTGTTTACAGCTGATGGGAACTGAAGTCCCCATTAGCACCGATCACTCACTTGGAAGATCACGTCCCAATTGGCCTGTCCCCCAGAATGCAATCAACAACCACAATGGTTGATTTTGTAGGAATCAAATCATTTTTATTTGTTTCCAAGGACAGCTCCGAGGCGGTTTCTTGTTTTCAGACCCCGCGTGCTGATTACAAGCATGTGTGGAGGAAAAGCTCTGGGGCTCCTTGCCCCAAAAGGGCCCACACACCAAGGCAAGCTCTGCAGCAGAACCAGGTGGAAAGCAAGCAGGAGGCCGACGTGGGCCCCTCTAACTATCTGGGAACAGCAAGAACCCCGAGAAAATGCTGTCGGCCCCTTCCGTGCCCCCAACCACAGAGTTCTTATCTGTGGGCTCCAGCCACACCGTCTCGCCCTGGGCCAGGCGCAGCACCACGCCGCCGGTGGTGACCTGGAAGGTGCTGTGGACATAGTCGCAGAAGGCCACCACCCTCTCGCCTCGCTCGGTGCCTCGGCCCTTTTTGAGGTGGAGGCAGAGGTTGCCCCGGGAGGAGATGTGGTAGGTGAAGTAGTACACCCCCGGGATGCTGCAGCTGAAGCGTCCGTAGCGGTTCTCATAGTTGTCGTTCACGCTGAGGAGCACACGATCGAACCGGATGGGCTGCCCCCTCCGTGCAGAATGGCTGATGCCCCGGAGTGCCGAGAAAGCCGCTTTCTGGGAGGATCGGGAGTCGCCGGAGTCCCCTTTGGGCCCCTGGGGGCCTGGAGGGCCAGGAGGCCCCTTGGAGCCCGCTGGCCCCTTGGGACCTGCTTTCCCTGGCTGCCCAGGTTCCCCTGGTTCCCCCGGCTCCCCTGCATCTTTGCTGTCCTCAAATATCCCAGGGCGACCTGGAGAAGGAAGGAAGTGAAGCAGGGGAAAGCATGACAGGAAGAGGCTGAAGTCATCCAGTCTGAGCTCTCCCAGTAGCTGCAGTCCAGAGAACTGGCTGGATGCTCGTTGGTTGGCTTACCAATCCCATACCCAACTGTGAACCTATAAGGGCATCAAAGTGGAAGATCTACGATCAGGGAGGGGAGCCTTCTTGTCCTAAGTCTCTGATCTGGGTGACACCTCCATTGTTCTTCAGTGGAGCTCTTCTAGCCTGGGCTGGGCAGTCATTCTGGGGGTTGATTTCCTGCATGGGGCATTTCCTACAAAGCCCCTTCTGACTGTCTCAGAACATTCTAGGCAGCCGAGTCGATTTGTAACAAGAATTGTAAAAATGTAGGAAAACTTCAGGAAAAACTTCCTGATGGCTAGAGCAATGCAGCCCTGGCACTGGGGGGTCATGGGCTCTCCCACACTTGGAGGCCTTCAAGATGCAACTGGACAAGGTATTGATTAGGGACGGTTGAACCTGGAGTGCTGCCCTGCGCAGGGGGTTGGCCTTATGGGCTTCTTCCAACTCCACGATTCTGGGATTTGCTTTCTTCTTCTGTACTGGGGCTGTTGAAAGCAGCTCTGAACATTTTGCAGCATCAAGTGCATGCTGGAAGGGAGGTGCCACCTGTTGCAATTCCCCCCCACTCAATTCCCCGGGAGAACCAAGCTAGCAGGTCAGAAAGAAGACCTCAGCCCAGGCTCTCCTCCGATCTCCTGTTTCTGCTATGTGGACAGTTCAATATTTCCACGAGGAGCACTGGAACACCCTGCTTTGGCTGCTGCACGCAGACCTCCCTAGCTGCAGCGGGTCCAGGAAAAGCTTCACCTGCCTGTCCTCAGCCTGCTTGAGGAACGCAGCCCATCTGCGTCTTCAGATGGGAGGAGGGGGTGGTGCTGTTGCCGGGGGGGGGGGAATTGGGATGGGGAGGAGAGGAAGGGGTGCTTGACCCTTCTGTAAACTTCCTTCCACTTGAATTGCACAGAATGCCTGGAGTGGGAATTGCACTCGCTCTCTGCTTTGGATGGAAGCTACAGCAAGATGCGTGGGATGGAGCTCCGGTCCCTGCGCCTCCCGTCCCCTTACCTTGGCTGCCCTTTGGCCCGTCAGTTCCATCTATGCCATCGGTTCCCGGTGCGCCTGGCCTTCCAGGTGTTCCCGGGATGAGAGCCAGACCCTGGCAAGTGTCAGCCCCCACCTGCCAGGCTGCAGGCAGAAACAGCAGCATCACCCACACCAGCATCCTGGTGGAGAACATCCTGGAAGGACAAGGAGTGATGGAGCAGAAGCCGGTCAGAAGGTATTTGCACACTTCTGCACTGGCAGGAGTCTCTTTGCCCCCTTCCGGAATGACTCCCCAGCGCTTTTCTTCTTTCCTCACTCCCCTCATCTGAAGGAGCTTTCCCCGGGAGCCTCTCAGCTCTAGCATAGCTTCACGCAGTCCCCAGTCCCCCACCCCACCAGTTTCCCTTCACCCATACCAAAAGTAGCCCACCTGCTGGTATCCCACTGGTATCCAGTGAGATGCCTGCTCACCATAATGAGCTGCAGGAATGGCGTCGTTTCCCGACAGCCTGGCTTGGCGTGGAGAGTTTCATGTCCACAAAGAGACAGAGCAAAAGGTGTCCAGGGCCAGCACTGACCAGAGGGCACCCTCCCTTTGGGGTTATGCTACAGGGACGGTCTGCCAATGGGGCACAAGCCCTCTTCCCTAGTGAACGTCCTTGTCTGGCTCTCATGCAGGACGTGACACAGCCAAGCAGCAGCTCCGTGCAGGGGGTCCAGCCCTCCTTACAGGGGCCTGCTAGCTAGCAGAAGACCCACGGCTGCCCAGCCCTCCTCCCTGCTGCGTGAGAATGAGAAAGGGGAAACCGCGCACTCCATGGCACTTGCCCACTACTTCTCATACGGGTCTGCAGAGGTAAGTGTACATGGGCGCTTGCCAAGGATCTGTGCCCTTGCAGGGGTCCAACATGGCACTCTGCTTGTGCGCCTGCCCCTCGCTTGGCCCAGGCGGCAGTGTTGGTGAGCAGACGCGCTGAAGGTCTGCTGTGCCTTGCGTGTCAAGCAAGCGAGTGGGAGCTGTGCTGATGACCAGGAGAAGGTGGCCTCCCAGAAGGAGGGGACCCACTGAAGGTGCCTTCTGAAGGGCTCTCCAGAACTTGGAGACAGGTGCAGACTGGGCCCAGTGGGAGAGAGCAGACGACCAGTGAACCCGATCAGACAGGCCTCCCCTCCAACCAGACAGTGTCCCTCTCAAGGATCTCCTAAAACGCAGAAGATCCCCCGTCTGCAGAGCAGCCCCATGCATCTCGGATGCCTTCACCCTCAGAAAGACACCCCCACACATGCACATGGACGCTTTGCAAAAGGGGACCGATTCGCAGCTTCTCACAAGCCACAGCTCTCCTTCATCGTCACAAGGGGTGGCATCGCTGGAGCTGTGGGCTGTACTCGGATGTGGGTGCCCACCAAGCTGGTTGTCTTCTCCTGGATCTCCAGGACTGGCTTTCTCTTGGGATCTCTGTCTGGCTAGTTGCTATGAACTCCTCCCCACCACTTCACAGGCGCACACAGAAGCTGGCCTGAAAAGCAATGTTAGCCACTGGAAAGCTTTCCCTTACCTTGAAGATCAACCCTTCAGGCAACGAGACTGGACTCCTTCAGGCCCCGACTGAAGGCGGTGGCACGGCAGAGACAGGAGGACGCTTCTGCGACAGGGACACGCTGCCCCTGCCCCCTCCCCCAGGCCAAAGCCCAGCTGCATCTCCGTGCATGGAGAGAAGCTCCACGTGTTCGTGACAATGGAGAAGCTGGCGGGAGCTTCCCCTTTCTTTGTTTGCCTCCTTCCGTCCATCCACGCCAGGCCAGCAGTTTTGCATCTGCACCTTGGTCACAACACAGGGAAGTGCAGGAGTGTTTCTTAGGGTCCTTCCTGCAACTCAGCAAGAAATATGGGGAACCTGTCCTTGTGGTCAGGCATGTTCCGAGCAAATCTGTGTTCCCGGCCATTTGTGGCTTTTGTGGAAACCCGCAAGGATGTCTCTGGTGCCAACAGATCACGAGACTTTTTCTAGGCAGCGCCTTGTGGGTCAGCACTTTTGCCCTGGCTGCACCAGAGAGACGCTGTCTGAGCCTTTACCAAATTTGCCTCCGTGTTCTAGGGGTGCTTTAGAGCAGGCACCCCCAAACCCAGATCAAATCCACTGGCCAAAGAAGATCCCAGATTTTTCCAGTTAATAAAAGGGTTGAGGAGCATGTGCTAGGAGACACGAAGGCTCAAGCATGTGGAAGCCCATTGCATTGGGATGTTGCAGAATTGCTCCTTGGGCAGTGGGCAAAGGCAGTTTCCTTTTGCCAGGCAGTATGGAGAAGATTGACAGGGGTCGAAATGTCCCCCCTCCCCATAAAATCAGAACTCAGAGAAGTAATCTGCTCCTTGACATTGCATGGTGGGAGATTCAGGAAAGATAGAAGGACTTCAGGTGGCACAGAGGTGAACTATAGAATTGCTCACCTCAAATGTAGTTATGGGAATCTACATGGACAGGGGGGTCAGATAGATTTGTAGAGAGCTAGACTAGAAGGCTATCAAGGGTTACAAGTCATCCGTCAACTGTCTGACTTTCCATTTATCATGTATCAATCCACCAGCTGGCTTAGCTCCAGTGGTTACACATGGGCCTGGTAGTACTGCGGCACTCATTGTACTGGTGGGCTTCCCACAGACAGCTGGTTGGCCACATGAGAACGGAATGTTTTTGTCCTCTATTGTGTCCGTTATTCTGTGGAGGTCTTCTCCTGCTACCTGCAGATGACCTTTGCAAAGAATAGGCCCGAGCTAGGTGTGTCCTTGAAGTATCAAGGCTTTATGGGTTGCCCTGTTTTAATGCAGGTGTGATTGCATTTTGTTCTAACACCTGAAAGAGCCTTTCAGGTATGCATCATTCCAGTCTATGAAGAAAAGGAACAGTTGTGAGAAAGGCACACAAACAGGTTCGAAGCAACGGAAGAAAAAGCGCAGAGTGCATAAAACTCGGGGTGCTGGAGGACCTCAGTGAGCAGATTCGCACATCTCTATCTACAGCTACAGAATCTTGGACAAATGATTCAGGCATTGCTTAAATGTTTCCAGTGAATTAGAACCGTCGCTCGAGGCCGTCCGTAATCCTACCATTTTATTTATTTATTTATTTATTTATTAAAACATTTTTATGCCGCCCCATTCGCCGAAGCCTCGGGGTGGCTCACCATGACAGTGTTCCTTCCAATGCTTAGTCAAAACCTACACTCCAGCCATTTTCATGCCCTGTTTCCTCTGGAGTAACCACAAAGTGCCACATATCACATCTATAATTTTCCTCCTTATTGAACATTTTCCAAAAAGCTCATGTCCCCCTATTCTTCCCACACAATTTTATTTTGTTATAGTTAAAATAAGGGGAATCAATATGACACGCAAGGCCTTAAGTAAGACTGGAACAATGAATCGGAGTGCGCACTGGATCTCAGATTATGTTTAAAGCAAACCTGGTGGTCCAGGAACATTGGAAACAATATATTTTTTAAATTAGGTTTCATCTAAAGAAGTTCATTGCTGGAAGCATAACACAGCTACTCACTCACATGTTTTGGAAATGACTGCTTTTTGTGGTGGTGGGGAGGTATTAATTGGGATAAACTTTCCAAAAGAAAGTTGTTTAATATTTACGGACATGCATGTTCTTAGCTATCTACCTGCCTCTTCTTGGGTCTTAACTCAGGGCCAATAAAAGCTGCGAGGGCGGCATGAGAACATGATTCAAGAGCCAAGGCGGGGATTTGAACCCGGGTCTCTGTTGTTCTTCTGCACAGTGCCACTCAGCATGAAGACCGATCTTCCATGCAAGGCAGTTTTGCATGCAAACTTCTGGATCAATATTTCAGAACAGAGGAAACATTTATTCAGCTTGTATTTTAGTGTGAATTTACCATATTTCGCACTCTGATACAGCCCTCCATCCCTAGTTGATTCCTGTGCCAGGCATTTTTTTTTTTTTTTTTGGTTTCTCCTCCTAACCAAGACCCAACTAGTTTCAGTGTTATATGTTTTGCAGGCCAAGGCTTCCAGCTGAAGCTCCAGTGTTTCCCACTGAACTGGGCTCAGTTTTCAAGTTGCAATTCTGAGAAGAACAGTCTGGGAAAGACTTAGAACATGCCAAGATGATTGGGCCGTAACTTATGTCCAAGTGCCTGAACCTTGCACCAGAAAGATAGTAGTGTCTGTGGCAGCCCAGCTTCCTTGGAGAGGTTTCCATAATCACTGGGTGGTCACGGAAAAGCCCTGTTTCTGGCATGCCCCACACAGATCTGGGGGGCGTCTGTAAATTACAACCACAAAATTTGGTTGCCAGGTAGCAACTAGATTCGAAGAGAAGATCTGCCACTCAGAGAACGTGAATGCCAGGTGTGTATTTTTTATTCTACAAAAGATTTATACCCTGCCTTTTGAGCCAGTGATACACACACATCCATCCCAAACCCACCCAATGCCTTGGGATGCTGGCTTGTGGATAGGGCCAGACTATGCTTGCCTTCAGATGTCCAATCCCACCGGCTGGAGAAGACTGTCCTTTTTGGTGCACAGAGAGAAATGAACTCCCTACAGCTGCACCTTCTTTGGCTGTTGGACGGGCCCAGGCGGGTGCTAGTGCTGCTGTGATGCTCTCCCCGAGAGGCAGAGGTGCAGTCTCGGTCCCCGGATCCCTTGGGTGGTAGCAGAGGCCTCCCCTGTATTCCCAGGACAAACCGGAGTAAGGCTGCAGGGCTTGCCTAGGATGGTTACCCTTCCCTCCAGCATATACTATTTTCCATGTTGCCATGCATATCCTCCTCGATCCATAGGGAGTGAAGTAACTGCCTCTGTGTCTGGCAATTGCGTAATTTAGTCTGCTCACTGGTAGAGACGTGGCTGCTCTTAATACTGACCTGCTCAACAGGGCTAAGCCAGGCGTTTAGTAATTTAGAAAGCTCAGAATTGGTTGCAAGCTTCTGCATTGAAACGGTGCCTGTCGTGTGCATTCTGGATTAACTCTTTGACTCCAGCATCATTTCCCTCTCCACAACTGCCACTCGGGAAGATATGGGTTCAGCAGGACTCCTAACACACACACACACGTACGTTTTATCCCTCCTACATTCTCCTTAGCAGTTCCCTTCATTGCTGCCACCCTAGCTCTGGTTCTGAGGAAGCACTGCATGATTTCAAACTAGCCCAAGGTGAGGACGATGGGTCTTAAGTCCAAGATATCTAGAGCGCACCAGCTTGGGAAAGGCTGTCTTAGAGAGGCAGTCCATTCTTTTCAGTGGGGTATACCCCCAAGCTACTCTGCTTCTGAAGAAAGGGCATGTACGCACTTAGATCACCTTAAGATTTATAATTTTTATTTATCGATGCTCGTTCACTTTTACTTCATCTGCTTTCAATCTTTGGGCTAAGCGGCCTGGATGGGAGAAAACCATTTTCAGGGACTGAACATTTGCCTCAAAGCAAATGCAGGCCTTTTCAATGCCATTTTAATCATACTGACTTTTATGGCGTTCTGTTTTTTTGCATTTATATTTTAATTGTTTCATTCTTCCTGCAAACTAGCCTGGGAATATGATTATAAATGCACACATTGCACACACAAATGGCAATGAACAGGTTTATTGAGCATTTTTAACAACACTTGGAATCATCTGGGGAACAACAGAAAAGGAATACTAAGAAAGCAGTTACACGAAGGGCAGGCACTGGATGCTTGAATCTTCGCGAAGCTCTTGCTGAGCTACTCCAGAAAGTGTGAGAGGGATCTAGTCAGGGAAGAGGAGGAAGCCTGAGAAGACACTGTCAGAGCCACCAATCCCCACCATGCCGTTGTAGTCATTGACTGTCAGCCACACTTGGTGGCCCATCTGCATCTGAAGCAAGATGCCCCCTGAACTGACTTGCTTGGTGTTGGACATGTGGTCACAGAAGCTGGCCACCCTGTCCCGGTTCTTGTACATGTTGACACAGAGGTTGGCTGTCTGGGAGGTGTGGAAGGTGAAGTAGTAGACGCCAGGGATGCGGCAGGTGAACTTGCCGGTGTTGATGTCATAGTCATTGTTGATGTTGGTGACGACTTTCCTGAAGATGACGGGGGCATTCTTTTCGGGATACTCACCCGTTTGCCTCATCACGGTGAAAGCCGCCTGATGCTTGTGCTTGTAGCCACCTGGCTCCCCTGGCTCGCCCATCTCACCCTTCAGGCCAGGGTCTCCTGGAGGTCCATCAGGGCCTCTTGGGCCATTCTTCCCTGGAAATCCTGCGGGGCCAGGTTCTCCTGCCACCCCCTTGGGACCTTGGCTTCCAGGAATGACTGGAATGCCTGCAAAGATCCAAAACAGAGCACATCGCACTCCAACCACAAAGACTAGGCCATCACACCCCTCCAATTCCCCAGGATAAATCGAGGACTGGCTTTCCCCCTTTCATATCAGCAGTAGCAGGACCATGGAATCGTCCCCAAGGTTTTTGCTGCAAGTGTTTTCTTGCAAACGTGTAGCAGCCTGGCCGCACAATTTTGTGTTGTCTGCCATTTTGCATTGTCCCCAGCAAGAGTCTGGGGAGGTGTGTGTGTGTGTGTGTTGGAGGGAGGGAGGGAATGGGGACTGAATGGCAAATGTCACCCAAAGGAAAAGGGAGGGTGGAGAATATTCAGAGAAGGTTCTGCAAAATGGCCTTCTTCTAGGGTGGTGAGAAAAAGGAACCACTCAGAATGTTCTTGGGTCTTTGAGATTTTCTTTGTTGGTTCAGCTCTAATAAAAGCCATCATCAAGAAGCGATAGCCCTGAGACCTTGGGGTGTGGTGGTCAAAGATCACTGCTCCTTCATGCAGCAAACCAAGGGAGCTCAGTCATGCCAACTCAAGTGGACAGCAGTTGTCTTGGTTCCCACCAGAGACTAGTTACCTGGCTCTCCCTTGGATCCTTTATGTCCATCTCTCCCATCCTTGCCTGGGGGACCTGGCACACCTGGCAGTCCTGGAGCTCCATAGCACACCTGGGCAGAAGCAGCTTGAGGAGATGAATCCATCAGAACCAGAAAAATGAGGATGAATCCCCAGCTCAGGAGCTTTCTTGAGGCAGAGTCCATCTTTGCCCTGAGGAAACAGGAAAGGGAAGCAGTTTGGGAATGAGAGGACATTGTGGAGGTTTGCTAGCATAGGAAGGAAGGAAGGAAGGAAGGAAGGAAGGAAGGAAGGAAGGAAGGAAGGAAGATGTTACTTCCTCCCCACCTCACAAAGAGTGTTTCCTGGGGACAAGGAAATGCACTCCCCCACCCCCCAGAAACCAATCCTAGCCACCCTTCCCCAGCCACTTATCCCAGATGCAAGATACAAGCTAATGTTAATTAATCCATTCATCTTATTAATTAATTACATGGCTATGTCATGCTTTGTAAACAAGGAAAACAGGTGGTTTAAAAAATCAGTATAAAATATGGATGCATGCAAATGGGCCAGTGGAAACCCCCCTCCCACCCCAAGAGTTAAGAGAAGGTTGACAAGCGGCCGAAACAAAGCCGGACCAAGATGGAGGGCAACCAGGGGCCAATCCATGTGCAGCATAGATTAATAGAATCATAACATCATAGAACTGAAGAGTTGGAAGGGGCCATGAAGGCCATAGTGTCCACCCCCTGATCGACAGCAAAGAGCTGCTGAGCATGTTTGATCCACGGCGACCCCTTCATTCCTGCAGATAAAACCATTATTAATGGCAGAGCATGTTCAACCGTGTTCCAACATTAGCAGCCAATGTCCTCCCAGAGAGAGGAAGCCGGGACCTCCTCTGTGCTCACATGCATAAGAGACCCCCAACACCAATTCTTGGTTTTAATTTGGCATTATCGTTGAAATAAAGAAAAGCTGTTTCAGAGGGGAGGGCGTACGAGGGCAGAAGAAAGCCAGATGCTGACACCCCAGCCCCATCCCGGCCTCTGCAGCTGCTCTCCACAGCTGAGGAAGGAGGTTTCCCTGCTTCCTCTGCTAGCTGAGCCTTTGAACCGGAGCTGCTGGGATCCAAACACCACAGGGACCCCACACTTCCCCTAAGAAAACCTGCAGGTACCAACCTTCCCTCGTAGAAGACACTAGGAAAAAGGCCCCGGGGGCCAGGAAGAACCCATCTCAGCCTGAAGTTGTGGGTCAGAAGGAGGGAGGTAGCAAAGCAGGCTTGCTGGCTGCCCATGAGTGGAGAGGAATCACTCCTCTTCCCTTCAGAAAGTGCCGGTCTGCATACCCACCTCCCAACGAGCCCATCCCCAAAGCCCCGCTGCAGTAGCCCCCCTGAGTCACTACCTCCCCAGCCACTACTCCGCCAGGTGCTCTGCCTTAGGTCCAGGTGGTCTCCAGAGTGGCAGCCAAATCCCAGGGTGGCGTGGCTCACAGCAGCCCCTCTTACCTCGTGCAGAATCTGCTGGACTCTCGGCGTGGTGAGGAAGCGGCAGGGCAAGCTGCTTTGGGCTCCAGGGATCCTCCTTGCAACATCTCCAGCCCCGATGGGGAAGTTGGTGGCCTGGGAGAATCAGGAACTGGCCCACCCCTTCTCTGCCTTTAGGGCAGTCATCTGCACGCTTCCCAGTTCAGACACGACTATTGTCTACCTTCCTGCAAGCTGAAGTCTTACTTTCCTGGGGGCTCAACACAGAAAGTTGCCTTCTGTCAGGGAAATCGTGGAGCAAAAGCTTAGTCAATTCCCCGAACCCCCTGAAGATGTTTTAGACTCCAGCTCTTCTCAAACCCAGCCAGTATGGCCAATGGCCAGGAATCATGGGATGTGTAGTCCAAACATCTGGAGGGTGCAGGGCAGAGAACGCTGGTCAGCCTAGTCTACAAGGGATTACATGGGTCCCCAGGGCCTCGCCCAGATGTCCTTATTCCCTGAAGAGGGCAGAGATGGAATCCGAGCCCTCCGGCACGTACAGCATGGAGTTCTGCCCCAAATCAAGAGGACTAACACCATGAATGTTTGCGCCTTCTCCCCTGCCAAGAGGACCCCCAAAGTGACTAACAGTTCAGAATCTCACAGCAAATTAGAGTGGAGTCTGTGACTAACCAGCAAAACAGTTCCAGCAACTGTGGAGCTGGAACATCTAAAAGCAGCCAAAGGCCTGTAGAGAACAAGAAAGTATCAAGAGACCACCTAAAACTTAATTTGGGGGGGATTGCATCTCATTATAGAGAAGACTCCATAATTAGGACGTTGCCACAGAAAAGGTCCCATCCTTGTCCCCCTGGCTGCTTGGAATATTCCTAGTTCTTGATTCTACAATTCAGTGTCGATTGCCTTAAGATAAGATGGCCTATGACCTGACAAAGGATTGAGGACCACTGGAAACCTTCCGATGACGTGCCGCAAAAGGAGCTAAGATGATCCAAGAAGGGACCAGGGATGGCTGGAGAGGACAAGCTGATAAATTGCCACTAAATCTGTGAATGCTGCTACACTGCTATTGCCTTTATTTTGATACCGCAATACCAGTGTTGGTGATGGAAATGCCTTCTGTGCCCAGATGCTTTTAAATTTACAGAGAATACATACTTGGGATGTCCAAACAATTGAGGCAAAACTCCTCTGTATCAAGCAAACCTGAGTAAGCCACTTGGGCCTCGAGCAGAAAAGAGGAGCGTTCTGGCCAAAGCAAGATGCACCAAGACAAGGATTCTAGGTGGGGTTCCCAGCACCCACCAGATGCTCAGTGGCCCACCAGATATTAGCCAGCAGTGGGCCTTCTGGCTTCCCACCCTGTTCTATACAGTGATCTCTGAAGAAGTGCTTAGTCCTTTGCAGACGAGAATTAAACTCTTAGAGGAAGTGAAGAGCAGGGGATGTTGTGGGTTTGCTCTGGGGTCCAGAGCAAAAAAAAGCACATGGACAATGCTGGAGAAGACAGAAAGCCGTTTGGCCACTGCAGGGCTGGTTCTGGGCCTGGGACCAGGTCCAGGCGAAAAGCGAGGGAGGGCCCACCGCCGCCTCTACCCTATCCGCTTGCCTCTCTTTCTGGACCCGATCCAGGCCCTTTCTCAGCAGGAAAAAGGAGAATGGTCCTCCTCCTGGAGCTTCAACAGCTTCCTGATACTGCTCCCCCTCTTGATGACCTCAGGCCCAAGAAGACAGGAACATCTGCAAAGGAAGCACATTGGTTTCCTGCAGCTCCAGAGAGGAAGAGTGGAGACAGTGCATTAAGATGACAAAACCGGAGTTTCGATTAAACATTAATAGTCCAAGAGGGGCACAGACTGCCTCAAAGCATGGGCAACACCACTTCTTTGGAGGCCCTTAAGCAGAAGTCGGTAATCAGGAATTTTATAGCTGGAGAAGTTCTGCATTGCCAGGGGGCTGGATTAGATGATCTCTAACACCCTTTCCGATGGGATGATTCTAGACTAGCAACAGAACCAGAAAGCAGAGGTGGATTTTTATTTTTTCGTTAAAGCTCTCACAGTTGTTACCCAGCTTGTTTTAAACAGCTCTTTCTCGTCTACCCTTTTCAGTTCTTTTTGCTGCACAGTCAGCCGCCCGTTCTTCCTCAGTTACACTGGATCTGGAGACCTAAATAAAGCACATTTTGAAAAGATAGAATATTGATAACATCTCCGGCTGGCCAACCAGGGGAGGCTTCTTGAAATCAGGAGGTGCCACAAACATCCTGCTTGTCCTCCAGAGGCCCGGAGATCCACGGAAAGGAGCCAGCACGCTGATGGCTCCTCTAAGGGGGACTTCCATTGTGTCGTAGGTTCACTTGGAACCACCAGGAACACGCCTTCCGATGACCTCAGATTTGGGCTCAGTCACGTCACGTTACGTTTCTGACTGTTCTCTAGCAGGTCGGCTTCCTATTTTGTGCATCTTAAAGGACTCTTTAACAGGGGTTCTGACTATCTGGAATTCTGATCTCTCTTAGGTCCCAGACATGGTTGCAATGGAGAAGGAGGATGGAACGGACCAAACAGGAAACATTCAGATGAGAAAAATGGCATCAGACGTTCAGGCCTGGGTCATTTTGCAACCATTTAGCATGTGACTCTCGTGCTGTAGAACACATGTGACCGGCGGGGGGGATGGGGTCAATTCATCCCACAGCCTGGAAAAAATCTTCAGCTACAGAAGCATGGGCCAGGCCTGTCTGAAATTCCCCTTTCTGAGAAATGGAAACTGACAGAAGTGCTGGACCAAAGCAGGTCCCTCTGAACTATGTGCAGACAGGGAGAGGGTGAGGGCAAAGATTCCTTTCAGCATTTGGAATTAAGAGACCCCCCCACCCCCCACTCCACAAAGTGCTTTGGGACTGGCTGGGAATCCTATATCATCTCACTGTATTTAAAGTACAGAAGGGGCCTTGCTAGGCTTATTACCAAGGGTGTGCAAAGTAGAGCTGAGGCAACGAGACAGGCAGGAGAGAACCATTTTGAGTGTTCCCCTTTCCTCAGCCCTCCAGTGAAAGGAGGTAATTTGGCAAAATCCTAGCCATTTGTCATGCCTGGCCTAGCCCCAAGGCGGGCCCCATCCTCCTCTGATGAAGACGCCGGTGTCTCGAAGTCTGAGGGCCGAAGTGGTACCCAGCCTCCAGTGCTAGCGCAGACACCTTCAGCATCTCAGAAGATGCTCCACCTCAGCTGAGGATGTGGAAGGACTCGTGGATGGGATTCTGACTCCCTGATGCAGCTTCCTTAGGTGTGGACACAGAGTGCATAGAATCATGGAATCGTAGAGTTGGAAGGGGCCAGAGGACCGTTGGATCCAGCTGCTGCTCAGTGCGGGACTCCAGGTTCAAGCATCCCTCCCAGAGGGCTGTCCAGCTGCCTCTTGAGTGCCTCCAGGGTGGGAGAGTCCACCAGCTCCCTAGGCCGTGGGTTCTATTTTTGTACTGTTCTAACAGTGAGGAAGTTCTTTCTGATGCCCAGCCAGAATCTGGCTTCTTGTCACTTGAGCCCAGTATTTAGTGCCCTGCACTCTGGGATGATCAAGAGGAGATTTTGACCCTCCTCATCTCCACCCTGAATTCATCACAACAGCCCCCAGTTTCTCTGCTTCTCTGTCCACAGGAAATTTGCAGAGGCTATTCTTTCCTAGCAAACCAAGCCTCCTAGTCTCTGAGCAAGCACAGACTTTTCCTGGCTTTGTCCCCACCTTCTCCATGTCGGGCTGTGATGCAACACAAGCTATGAGGAATATGCGACACTCCTTGGGGTAACCCTGGCTTCCTGATTCTAACATTCCCCTGTTTATGAGTGAAATGTGATGGTGCCCCTGTGTTGAGAAGACCAGGGCCAAGATGGGCAACAGGAGGGAGCCACTGGCATGCTTGAGGGAGCACTGAGATTCGCAGATGGAAAAAGCACCCTAAAGGGAAGGGAGAAGAATGTTTTGAAGAAGAGTCCGACAACAATTGACTGTATTCAGTGGACTCTTTGATCTATGTAGCACAGCCATGACATGGATGCGCTCTCTCTCTCTCTCTCTCTCTCTCTCTCTCTCTCGGTGTATGAGAGAGAGAGAGAGAACAGAACTGCTTGCTTGACACTTTTCAGTCTTCCCCACTCTGCTGCCCTAAGCTGGGGATGCTGGAAGTTGCAATCCGACACACATCTGTGGCAGCTGCTTGGGCCAGGCTAGCTTGGACCGTCTTGGAGGAAGCTTCCTGACTCTGCTGACTTGCAACCCTGAAAAGCTGCAGTCCTGTGAGGAAGCGCCACGTCCCGCCCCAGGCGTCGCCAGAAATGGACAGAAGATGTTTCCGTGTGCATTTGCTAAGCGTGGAGCAAATTCCCAACTCTGCTCACACGTGGAATAGAAGGAGCCAGAGGCTTTCAAAAAATCACATGCAGGGAATGTAACAGGGCCAGTAGCTTTGCCCCTCCCAAGAGTGTTCCTGTCCTTTTGTAACCGAGGCGAGGGAATCTGGGGGCCAGGATGCACCGCAGGCGACTGCTTCTTTGTCTCTTTGCTTTCTGCCTCGGGTTGGTGAGTCCACCCTGCTCAGCACAATCCCTCCTGCTCAGCACGATCCCTCCTGCTCATCCCACCCCATTTAAGTCAACCTGGTTGGTCCAGCAGGGACAGAGGGCAACCGAAGGACAGTCCTCTACGTGAAGGCATGCTAGAAGGGCTGCCTACCCTTCTCTGGTTTAAAGGGAAGGAAATGGAGAGCTGGAGCACGGACACGGCACATTGGGACCCAGACGACAGCCCGGACTGGTTGCCAGCAGCCCCCGCTCGGGTGAGCTGGACTGCCTTCCCACTGAAGCATCATTCTTGCTTTCTCAATGTGTGCATCCCGGAGGTACGCAATGCAGTGTCCTCTTCTTTGGCAATGCACAAGAAGCCACTCTGGACTGGGTGTTCTGCCTGGCCATTGGCCCTTTGCTTGGGTCCCCTTTGGTGCCCAATTAGTAACAGCATCCGGGGGGGGGGGGGGGAGAGGGAGAGACAGAGACAGAGAGAGACAGAGGGAGGCCAAGGGAAAGAGACAGAGGGGGAGGGAGGGGAAGGGAGGCGCAGAAAGAGGCAGAGGCATCACAGGCAACCGTGTGCCTTCTCTCCCTGCTGGGTTGCTCAGAGACAACAGGGGCCTTTGCTGCTGTTGCTGCTCGCGGCCTCCTTCCTTTAGATGGAGCCGGGGGCTAGAAGCAACACCGTGGAACAAGGACAGCCGGTTCCTTGGGCATCCCAGCCAGCAGAGACCCAGAATGCCCACCCTGGAAGCCCCTTCCCTGCTCCCCCTTGGTGGTGATCGAGCACGCCAGACCTAGGCGCACTGAGCTCATGGTGCCTTGAGACCCAGCAAACGGGACGCAGCGCCGTTTCCAAACGCAGAACATTTATTGGTGCCTCTCGGGAGCTACATGGGGTGTGCACGCGCCGGAGGTCCAGGGCGGAAGGAAGGGCGCATGCTGCCTCTCCAGCAAAGGGCTCCTTGTGCAGAGGGCGGATTTAGAGGAGGGTGGCCGAGGGAGGAGCAGGGCTGCCTCTGGCTCCTCAGCGCCCTGCCGGGAACAGCAGGAAGCCGCTGAAGATGCTGTCGGTGTCGTCGCCACTGTAGATGTTGTTCCTGGACCCGGCGTCGCTCTCCAGCCAGACACGGTCGCCCGGGAGCAGCCTGAGGACGCTGCCGCCGGAGTTGACCTGGTACAGGCCAAGCCGGTTGGTTTCACAGAAGGTGGCCACCACGCCGCCTTTGTGCATCAGGCGGAGGCAAAGGTTGCCCTGGGAGATTACCTGGAAAGCAAAGTAGTAGTACCCCTGGTCCTTGCAGGTGAACTCGCCCGTCAGGGAGCTGTAGCCGTTGTCCTGGTTGGTTATGATGTTGTTGAAGACCACAGCGTTCGGGTTTGGAGTCGGGTTGGGGTTCTTCCGAGTCGCTGAGAAGGCTGCTCGGGGCTGCCTCATGACGTTGCCCACCTGCCCCTTGGCGCCTTTCTCTCCGGGCAAGCCAGGGGGGCCCGGGGGGCCATCGGAGCCCCTGAAGCCCTGGTTCCCAGGCATGCCTGGTGAGCCCGGCTGCCCGGGCTCGCCCTTGGCTCCCTTTTTGCCTGTGCTCTTTCCAGCCGTACCTCAAAGGAAAGCAGGAAAAGGGTGTGTTAGGTGCGTCCACTCAGAGGAAGAGGCTAGCCCAGGCCCACGCAGCGGCAGACATCGCCCTCCGGGACTGGGTCCGCAGTGGGGAGCTCTGGTGCCTGGCCTCCTTGGAGGCCTCTCAGGCCCAGTCACTGAATTTTTAGCATTTGAGGAAATGCCTAAGGGAACAATAGGCATTTCCTATTGAAGAAGAAAACTAGACCCCACCCTTCATTGCTCCAGGAGAAATCATTTCAAGCTTTTATGAGCTTAGGAGTGCCATTCTATACATGTGATCTCAGAAGTAAACCTTACTGAGCTCATCTGGACTTAATCCCACCTGTGTGAGTCTAGAGAGGCAGCAGTAACCCAAAGAGGAAGCGTGGGGGGCGGCAGGGGGAAGCCTTCTCCATGTTGCTCTTACAGGCATCAAGCTTCGGTCCATCAAAGGGGCATCCCCCACACCCAGGGCTGCTCCCCGGCTGGACAAGGCTGTTTCTTCTGGGTTCCCCAAGGCCCCCTTACCTGGTTCACCGACATCTCCTTTCTGGCCCGGCCGCCCGGCCCGGCCCGGAGTCCCTGGGTAGCCGTCCTCGCCTTTGGGCGCCTGGCATACATTCTCCTGTGGGGATGCAACCTGGAGGATCAGGGCCAGGGCACACGCTGCCAGCCAGAACCCGCTCGGCATCTTGCTTCTGCAGATAACAGCACCAGTCCGTGTGAGGACTCCCCTCACGCTCCCTCTCGTTGCTTCTCAGAGGCACGTCCCCCGCAACTTCCCAAGGCTGCTGACTGTTCTCAGTGGTGGCACATAGGCTTTGCTTTCCAGCTTCAGAGGGCTTTGCAGAGGACTGCATGCAAAATGGTCCAGATGGGTGCGGGTGGCCCTGCTAGTGGGGGACTTTGCTCAGAGTTTTATGCCTGGGCAACTGCGGGGCACCAAGCTCTGTGCTGAAGGTGTGGAGCTGTTCTAGTAACTTTCCATGCCATGGTCATTTCAGAGGTCCCCATATTCCAACAGTCCGGAACATTCATCCCATTTCTCCCCACCCCTCAAATAACTGGTTTTGGCCTCTCCAAAGACCATCAACACGATGAGCAGCTAAAACTGAGCAGCAGTTTCTCCTAGGATAGTTTTTCCAGGTGTCCCTTAGAGGTTCTCTCTCTAATGCTCTCTAGAAAAAGAAAACCAATTTGCTGAATTTTCTCTGGCTACTTTCCACCGTCAGTCTCTTGCAGGACCCTTCACCCTGGTCCAATTCCTCAGAACAATTGCAATCCCTACAAGCTGGGCAAGTTCACACATTGCATTAAGCCACCCTGCTAGGAACGGAGAGCCCGCCGAGCAGGTTTGTACCCCCTTGAGCTTCCATGTGTCACTAGCTGCCTGAATAACCCACAGCGCTGCTGGCGGGGGCCCACACATGATTACGGGGCATATCCATCCCTCTGCTTTCTTCCCCTCAGCCACACCACCGACTGCAGCACCCGGGGAGCAAAAGGGCTGGGTTTACATGGCATTCTCTACCATTTAAACCCACCCTTCTGCTTAAATAAATATTTCACTTTTAATGAAACCGCTGGAGGGATCAGCCAGGATTGCAGGTGAAAATCGACGTACGAGAAAAGGTGGAAACCCTGCTGCATCCTCCTCCTTCCTTCCCTTGGAAGGACATTTGGACAGAAGTGTTCTGCAGCAATCGCAGTCTCGATGTGAGTGGTGGATATTGACCCAGGTGGGAGATTTAGAAGCATGACAGAAGAGCAGCGCCGGTGAATAAGGTCTAAATTACTCGCTTTGCAGAGTGGGAAATGCTGGTTATTACTTTTTCACAGTGGCAGCCCGAGGCTCTCATGCTTGGGTCTCCCATTAAGTGGGGCATTGTTGGGTAGAGGGTGCCAGCCTGGATGATTGCCTCGAGCTTGGAACGGGGAAAATGCCCCGGGATGAAAGCACTGGAGCCGTTGAAAACTGCAAATTAGTCATCTGCTTCTCCGGCTGCAGGCTGAGCATGAAGTGCCAAAAGATTGGACTGACGTGGTTATGCACCCGCGACAGCACGGTGCCACATCACGGGCTGTGTGGATGAAATCAGGGAGTGGGCAGCAAACAGGGGTGAGTCTAGTTGGAGTTAAAGTAAGTTAATTATAAGAAAGAGCCCCGAGAAGGGCAGCTTACCTCCCGGAATGAGATGTCCACCAGACGTGCTGGGAAGTGTCTCTCTTTTTTGCCCCACACTCGAGAGAAGGAGGAAAAGCAGAAGGGGGCAGTGGGGGCTGGGTTTGGCTGAGTCACAGAAAATGAAGTTTCCTTTCCTTCTTGCTCCTTTCAATTGCTTCCTCTCCCCGCTGCATGAGCTCAAAGCAATCTCTAACTCTGAAATACCTGCCTTGGGACATTGAAAAGCTAAGTATTTGATAATCTTTGCTGAAAGGAAAATGCAATCAAACCCTGTTTGGAAAGAGGCATTTCTGGATGGCCTTAACTGGCCGTGTCAGCAGCAAATGCTGTCGGACCCACCAAGGGGGCAAAAGAAGCGACTAGCTGGGGCAGCAAATGCCTGCCGTGGTTCATTTTTTGGACTTGGAGAGAGAATGTCTGTCTGCCGTTTTGGTGCATGTGGGCAAGACGGGTGATGGTGTGTGAGCTGCCCAGTTAGCTCACTTCAGCTTTGGCTTAACAAATGGCCAGCATGACTTTAAGCTCCATGCCGTTGTTCCACATAAAGCTGCCCAATGGCCACAAAATGTGTCCATTTTGTGTTTTTGAGAAACGGCTGTGAACACCCCGGAGAGCTTTGGCCAGTGGGTTGTATGGAAAACAACAACAACAGCAGCTCAGATCTTGGGATTTACAATCACTCTGCTTCCAAACCATGTCTGTTTCCTATGTATCCAGTCCTAAGTTGGTTCATAGAATTATAAAATCATAGAATCATGGAATAGTAGAGTTGGAAGGGGCTATGAAGGCCATCTAGTCCACCCCCCTGCTGTTGCAGGACACCAAGTCACACCATCCTACTCAGATGCCTGTCCAGTGTGGGAGAGCCCCCCACCTCTCCAGGCAGCTGGTCCCACTGTCGTCTTGCTCTGAGAGTGAGGAAGCGTTCATGTCAGTCTGAACTGTATTGATAACCACAAATAAATATACACACATGTATTTTCATGCACACTCTCCCTAATCCACATTTTGTGAGCTGGTAGTGCATTGCAGATTTGTAGGAGTGCACAACATAAAGAAAGACGCCATTCCAAGAAGTTGGACTGGCTATGCAAGGAACAGATCCAGTTGTAAACGAAGCTGCAGTCTTTACGAAGGAAAGTGAGGCAAGAGCTCTCAGTGCTTCATCATGAAATACACCATGCAGAAAAGAGCACGTCTCCGTGTTCAGCATGCATGTTGTTAGCAAAATCCGAAATAGCCTCTGCAAATAGCTACAGCTGCAGATCTCATGTTTGCTTCAGCTGGTCATGCTCCATCCCACCCAGAACCATTGTGAAATTTTTTCTTGATGTCCTCACTGGCCAGGAAGATGTTTCCTCCTTTCTTATGTATTTATTAATACATGTATTTATAGGCTGCCTGTAACTGCCAAGGCCTTTTCTTCGCCATTGGTCAATATCCTTCTTGCTGCAATGGATCATGTTCCAGCCCAAATGAACTGGCCATTTCCCTGTGAAGTAGAGTCTGGTTTCTCCAGGCTCTGGAGGAGGCTTGCTCTGGTCATACACCTGTGGAGGGTTGTGCAGCAGCTTCAGGGTGGTGGTTTCTCCAGGTGAGGTGCAGAGCAATGTGGGGGAACCTGTCCTACAACATAACCATGGTAGCAAAGGAGGAGCTGCCTTGCACACCTGAGATACTGGTAACCTGCTGGGAGTGAGACAAGGGCTGCCTTGGGTGCTCATTCCCAAGGGCTGCTGGCCGGACTTCAGAGGAAGTGGAAACAGGATGTGAAGCAGACCTGGGGGGAGCCTGGGAATGTGGCCAAGCTGGGAGATGCTTCCCACAAGGCCAGGCTCCCCAGGTGGGCAGGAAGCCTCTGGGGACAGCCGAGATGTACAGCTATCGGGAGGGGACTTGGAGTGGGGGGGGAGGTTCTCAGGCTCAGGTGAGGCGGACATGGCTCGTTCCCCAGCAGAGGAGGGTGGCCAGAGGGTGGCCAGATCGGCATCAGGAGAGGAGGCGAGCTCGCTTTCAGAAGGCCCTTCCCAAAGGAATGAGCTCCAGAAATGCTCATAAGGAGAGTTCCTAAAGGTGGGTACTAGATTGGATTCAACGAACCGCTCTGTGCACGCATTCATTCTGGGTGTTTGTTTATTTATCGCATTTGTATGCCACCCTATAACCGAAGCCTCTCTGGGTGGCTCACAGTGCAATATAAATATATATAAAATACAGATAAAAATAGAGAACAATAACAAACCACAAAGCATAGTAAAGTTAAAACAGAGTGTAAATACAACTGCATAAATAGGAAACGGGGGAAATAAACACGGTATAGCCAATAACAATAACCAATAAAAAGCAAAGCAGCAGCCCAATCTAAAAACAGACGCTAAACAGCTTAACTTGGCACTGAAAGCAAGATGAAGAGGGGGCCAGCATGGTCAAGGTGGGGTGCAACCGAAGGCCCTTTTCTTGCTGATTCCCCCCACATTTGGGGGAAGTTCATGCCCTCCATTGAGGGCCTGAGCAGTCCGGGAGGGATAAATGGAGACAGGTGCTCCTTTAGATATCCCGATCCAAAGTCACTTTAAGCTTCTGTTCAATAAAGAATGCTCTGTGACTTTTGAATGTGTGAAGGAGGAACCCAGCTCACCACAGCACATCTGTGTAATCACCGCACTAAAGTGCAGCACAGATTGTGTGACTTGGCTGCGCATCAGTGAGTCAGGAGTGGATGACTGAAGTGCTGATCGTGCCAGCAGAAGAAGACTGGGCACTAGATGGCACCGTCGCGCCGATGATGCACACTTGAGATCCTGCGCAAAGGTCAGTGATTCCCGGTTGAATTCATACATGCTGGGAGCAACAGCCCCCAGTTACGACACTTTGTCAGGCCCAGACACATCCCTGGAGATCACTGCAGCTCTCTTTGTACTTGTGGCGCTGCATTCATGCTCCAGGTCCGCCTGCCTCCAGAAAATCTGCCTTTGATTTTTGGGGTATTGCCGGATCGTCTTTTCAGAAGCATTCCATTCTCTTATAGCATATCCCCATGTCCTCTTTTACAGAGGACGATCCTGCATTGAAAGACCCATTGGAGAACAGTCCTGTAACTGAAGGATGCCTCTACTGAAAGTGCTGATCAGTCCAAGCTTGCCTAAAAGATAAAGAACCCTAAGAAAATTGGGGCTGAATCCTGAAAGTCACCCAGTAAATGTCAGACTTGGACATCAATAGGCAACTAGGAGAAATGTTGGATTCCTATTTAAATAGTAGCCACCCTTGCTCAGTTTGCATCCATTTATATATTCTGGCTTGCTCAAATGTTATGCAGACTGGGACACCCTTTTGCCCTCTTCTCTGGCAGTGTACAGCTGAGCATGCTTTTGTTTCAACCCATTTGCTGTAAGATTAAGAGGGAATAAGGTCAGCCCAGACTTCTTTCCCCTTCTCCGGCAGCCCTTTTTGTGAGTTGGAAGAGAAAGAGAGGGAAGGTAGCAGGAAACGTAGAGTTTATGACACAAAGGGGGTGGCGGGAAGGAGAATAATGGAAAAATTTGCCTACCCCTTGGTGCCTTTGGCGCTACCCAGATCAGGTAGCAGGAGTTTCTCTTCCTCCTTCCCTCCTGGCTGGCATCTTTGGAGAAGTTTTGCAGAGGTGTCCAGTTGATTCTGCAGATCTGCATGGGGGGGGGGGGGTGTTAATTCACCTTCAACTTAACCATCCCTAGAAGGTGAGCTTCCATCATTCTACAGTCTACCTGCTCTTTCTGTTACAAAGTCTGTCCCGACATTTAACTAAAATCTATTTCCCTGGAATTTCCCCATGCAAATGGCTCCATTCAACATTAAGAAATATGTAACGCAATGGAGAATTCCTATTGCATCAGTTCTGTTATGGAAACCGCACTGGGAATTTGGGTACGTCAAAATTGGCGAAGAAAAATTGGATGAAGGTAATTCCAAAAACACCCCTACGATGAAAGACATTCTGCTGGTGTTACAACTACTGAATGATCTCAAATGAATGAATGATCTTTTTGAAATGAAAATAGATGGCTTTGTGCCATATGCATTTTCAAGACTGCCTCCTGCCATTTGTTTTATTATCAGATCAGTGTCCAACCTTTTACAGTCTGGTGATGCCCTCCAAGAAAAATTGGCTTCACTTGAATTTCTCATGTAATATTGCAGATGGGACATGATGGTGGGGCCCTTTTTGGTAGGTGCATCAAAACTCTGGAATTCCCTCCCTTAAGAAATCCCCCCAATTTCCCCCCCCCTTTTTTTTTGAAAGATAGAGCCCCTTCTGCATCCTGTTGCTCTGGGGGGCAAGGCCCAAAGAAGCAGGTTGAAATTGCAAGAAACTGAGCATTAGAAAGATGGTTCTGCTGGTATGGACTGTCCATCCGTGGAATGGATCTCTCCAGAATGTGGCGGATTCTCTTATCAGACATCTTCGGGGAGGGTGCCGTGTGTGCACAAGCATTCACGCTTTGCAGACTGTTCAGGGAGACATGTCGTTCGATTCCAAAAAGGTGTACAAGGTAGCACAGAAACCTTTGCAGCTCCATCAAGGTCATTTCCTGAAGTTCTCAGGCCAGTTTCTCTTGAAAGGAGATGGAAGGAGTTTCAGAAGAAGAGAAGCGGTTATGGGACTTCCTCCTTGATCTCATGAGGATGCATCGCGAGGGATGGGCTGCCCACTTGGAGGGCCTGTGGAAATCATGGGAGTTGGCTGTCCACCAGGGAGGAAAACCCTGAGGGTGGAGCTGAGGTGTTGCAGGAAGGGGAGGGACTGTGGCAAAGTTTCCAGTTTGGGGTCAGCTCTTCAGAGGAGCAAGGGCTTATCCTTCCCGCTCGAAAGAAGGCTATTTAGGACTGCACTGTTTTGTTGGCTGTGGAATTTTAATAAAAATCGGCGTCGCAAAATATTGTCTTAAGTTTCGGAGCCTGAGGGAAGCAGGCTCCCCGTTTGGGTATACTCCTCAACTCAGCCCTGAACTGTGAGGTCAGCTGTACCTAGACCTGGAGATGCCCAGTCGGCTGCATTCACACGTGCTTTCTTGACATA